TCTGCCTGAAAGCAGACACTGCAAATCACCTATTTTACTACAAACTCTTGGGATTTCAGTATCAGCTTTTTAAAGCCTATTGGTTTTACACAAGGAGTATATTTACTCCCGTACTAAAATGATCTTTAGTACAGTCTGTGCTAAAATGATCTTTGCACAGTGTGTGCAAGTAAGAGAGGTTGTTGTGTTGGTTTGTTATTTCAGCTCATGAAATTTACTGTTTTTTATTGAAATGAAAACGGGAAAAAAGCATGAAGGTAAATATTTGATTTGAATTTTTTGATTAATCTATATAGTGTTCTCTCTAAAGTTCTGAATTAAATTTAACATTTATCGAGTCTTTGTTTAATCAATTACTTATTTTGTATTCCGTTCACTCCTAAGTACCTTGCTTGGAGACAAAGTGCTACTATATTATATGCTATAGAAATGGAAAGGGAGAGAACAATCTGTTTTTACCATCTGCTACTTGGTCTTGCAATTGTGTGCTTATGTGGCTCATTTTATGCAGCATAAGCAGTTTCTGTCATTAAAATTATTATTTGCCATATATTAACTGAGCATATATGTAACTTTTTGCCTAAAGTTTCAGTGCTACAAGTGCTAATTGAATAGCTTTTGGTAAGGAAGTTTTCTCATTATAACACTGTGTGTTTGTGTCTAGAGGAACAAGATGTAGGCTAAAACAAATTTTGGGAAGGAGTAAAAGAAAGACGACAATTACAGTCAATGAATATAGGCTAGCTTTATGTATTTCTTCATTCATTTTTAAAGTCATGAACCTCAAAGATCAGATATTGTTTAAGAACTACCCACTCCAGAATTACCTACTCCCTATTAGTTGCCTTCCCATGGGTGTTGCAGCACATGGTCTCTCCGTACCGTTTCTTTCATTGACTCTTTGAGCAATCAATCTTTGGTAGCACATTTGGAGTTGTGCTTTAGAGTGTCTCTTAGTACTGCACATTTTTGCCTTGTTTCTGTCTAAGCAGAGATGGTAGTAATTTGATGAATCGTCTACCAGTGAAATAGGAGATTTATGGAAGCTTGCATAACTGAGAAAGGTGCAAGTTGTCCATGCTCTGAAATGGGGGAGGTGAGGTTTCCTTGTTCTTTAACTGCCTCAGTAACTGTAAATTAAGAGATTACACTTAACCTTTTCCTGTGTAAGATTTCAAACTCCTCAGCTGATCTCTAGGATTATCTTCATTGATTTTCTATGTTGGTATTTTTTCCACACCTCCAATAAAACAAAGTATTACTTTCTAACAGAGTTCAAGCTACACACCAAATCCTTAAACAATATGTATATAAAATTAATCGTGCAAATAATTGAAGTACACCACTGAGATCTTAAGAAAGTCAGATTCAATTAATCATTCATAACTGAAACCTTTTAGTGCTCATTGTGTTTGACTTTTTTTTGGGAAAATAATGTTTGAATGAAAACGACAACTGATTAACATTTTGTTTCTAACCTTCCTAAGAAAAGATTGTCTTCAGCTACGAATTTTTCAGGCTGTAAATATGCAAAAGCAACTATGAATTTCACTAGTCTTAAAACCGAGGAGCATATATATTCATGAACCTTTATAATTGTCACTGATGGATAACACTGCCTGCTTATATATTTCCTACCTCTCTCTCTCAGTCTCTAAAGTGACATCTCTTGTGATTTTCTCTAGGGGATGCAGAGAATGCTTGTCATGGATATTGAAGAATGGAAGGATAATAAATAGTAGCCATTTATTTAGTTGTCCCATTGTAATGTCTTTCATGTGGGCTTATGTATGTTAGTAGTTTACAAATGACTTTAACACATTTATTCTTTTGAGATTAAATTTAATAGTGAGAAAATGTTTTCTGAGTGTAGAATGTAACCTAAATTTTCATGGACTATCTTGGTTGTATAGAAGTACCTTAATGTTCTTAGAATAGACTGCATCAGCTAAAAAGCTGTGCTTTTCTAAAGTAAATATTAAAAATAATGGTTGTTTAATACAAACCCTGCATGCCCTGGCTAGGGGTTAAAGAATAAAGCTGCCTACAGCCACTACCAGCTGCAGGGTGCTAGGGAACAGGTTTGAAAGTGGAAGAGAGATAAATTGTAGCTGGATAGAAAGGAAAGCAACCTGTCAGCAGCCTTTGTGTGTCCCAGGAGGCTGATGTGCCTAGATCTCTTTTGGATGTATATAAATTATTTTCTTTTAAAGTATTTTTCTTACAGACGTGTCTCCGTTCCATCCCTTTGTAGGCATTAAAAGCATTGGTGCCTTTTAATAAGCAAGATGTGAATACAGTCAAGAGTCTGTGAGTCTCCTATTACAAAATGGCTTCACTGCCTGAATGATTTTGAGGAGGCTTTCCAGCTGAAGATTTATTCACTTTTACTTCAAGTTAATATTTGAGAAGTGCTATATGTTTATTTAGAACAAAGTGGAAGAATCACCAATTGGCTGAACAAGCACTGTGAATTTGTTCTTGTTGGCGCTCAGTCGAGTTAGAGAGCTCTCACAGTTTCTTGTAGCATCAGAATAATTCTCTGAATAGTTCTCAGAATGGTTCTCCTTTATTGTGTTCAACATACATCTTATATACCATTCACTTACAAACAAGAAATTCCTGTCCCTCTGATCAGTTAATTGGCCTAGCTTCTCCCAAACAACAGTGATAAAGTATAAAAGGTTTCTGAAGTGTGATAAGATTAACAATGCATACAAACAGAATCTCCTGTTTTCCCTTAGATGCAGACAGCTGCTCTTTGCTCTCTGTCTTACACTCCAGACTGCCAAGGTTTCACAGTGATAGGGTCTATCAAGGAGTCTGATAAAGCCTTTGCTGACTCGCTCACAGTTACATTTTCCACCACATGTTCTTCCTAAGATTCCCCACTGACCCCCCCAAAATGTTGAAAACCAAAAAAGCATCCCCAAACCTCCAAGAAATATTATTTTCATTGTCTGTCAAGATGAAAAATGAAATCGAAGCTTACCTGGAAACCACAGAGAAGTATTTGAAGATGAAATCTGCCGAAAATCCATCAGAGTGGCAGAGAGAGATTGCATGACAGGGTAGTTCTCCTGTCTGAAATGGAAGGACTTTGAAGCGGCAAACAGTGACAAAATGCCTGATTTATAATTTGTATATTTATGTCAAAGTGAAAGCAAGCCAAATTTAAAATAACCTCCTGAACAATGTACCATGACAGGGAACTTTAAATGGGAAATAGTGTAATTTTATGATTAGTGACATTTGTAACACGGCTGCTTCCAGAAATCTCACAACAAGGTGTGGATTTTACTTCTACAAAGCAGCAGTTAACTTTGATCAACTGTTATTGTATACACAACTTCATTCTGAATTCATGTATGTCTTTTTCACAGAAGGTTAAGACTCTGTCTGAATGGAAAGTCAGTTGTAGTCATGTTCAGTCTGAGAACAGCACAGGTGCTAAAAACTGGATTCTACAAGTAGGATTTTGTCAGCTATTTTAGTGGTATTGCAATGAATTATAAGTGGTTCCCTGTGATTTAAGAAAGGATACAGCAACACTCAGAAATCAGTCAGTAGAAAACTAGAAAACACATTTTGTAGCACAATATCAAATTTAATCTAAAATAATATTTACATAGGCCCAATATTTTAATAGATGGGTGTCTGGACAAACGAGGTTTTTTATATATATGAATATAATCAATGGTTACAGTTAAATGCTGGTGTAATTATGTCCTTGATGATTGCTATTTCCATCTCCAAGAACAACAGATCATACTCAGAACATTTGCAATCGTTTGCAAAAGTTTGTGAATGCTTTAAGCTAAAATGAATCAATGAATTTGCTGCCTACTTACAGAGATAATCATAACTGAAAAAGTTTGTTAATGATTTATTCAGCTCTAATTTAAACATACTTTAACAATAAAAGCTTTTCTAATGATTTAAATGGAAATTTTGATGAAGACACTGTCAGACTGAAGCAGTAAGCAGAGGTTTGGTAAGGTTACATCTTAAAATCAGACTTTTTTGAAATACTATATATATGGGTGTATGAATATTAAATATTTTCATATTTAATAATTGCACTCATCACATCAGATGCCTTTCATTATGACTCTAGAATTTCTGTGAACATTATGGGCTTAAGGTTTAATCTGTGGCCTTTAAGTGTAATATTGTTTCACTTGGAAAAACTAATATTTAGAAAAAAATAATAGTTAAAGAAAAGTAAAGTGTATTCTAAGGCTCTTTTTCATATTGAGTGGAGTTCATGATAAGATATTCTTAGATATGTTATGTCCCTTTTGAATAAAGTGTCTTTTTGCTGTGATTGAAGTAGCACTGGATCAGACATGATATGTGGGGCTCACAAAACAAATGTATTTTATTTAAAATCAGCTTTAATTCAAAGGTAGTTTCAGTATCTACAAACAGTGTGCCATTTAAGTCACTGCATGTCCTTTCTTGCTAGGGCCAAATTCTGCACTCAATGTTTTAATTGAACCAATGAGATCAGGGCAGATGAGTGACCAGGGACACAATTTGATGCCATTTTTTAAGGACAGCCACATATCAAGATAACACTACAGTCACTGATATCTGAATGGTTTAAAATAATAGATCTTATTCTATTTAGTATTAACACTTCCTAGCAGTTAGACACCTGAAATAGCATTTTTCCCACCAGTACTTGTATATATGAATGATCAAATAAAAATAGTTTTTTATATATATCCTGTTATTACATCTAATAAGTAATGAGTAGGTAAAAATCCATCTGGTCATCAACTTTTAGCAGCAGATATGTCATGTCATAAGGTATCAGAACTGTAATTGTTAAGATGTGAGAATTTCTTGATAAAATAGAAGCTACTCAAAGTGCAACCAATTCTACACAACTGCTCTTTGATTTTTACTTTATTTTAAAGCAATCTTATTCCTCTTCTCTGTTTCCAAACATTTTTCAATCTCTCCGAGACTGAGACTTTCTCCTTTCTCTGCAGGTCTCCAAATTGCCTGATGGGCTGTAGATTGATTTCTGTACCACAGGTACATTTGCTCATTTACAACCACTCTCAGCATTTTCAAAAAAGAATGCCTAAATGGTAAGTAGTAAACTCAAGCACCCAGGTAGAACTAGTTGGTTTTAGATGAGCTGAATTTCCTAGAATAGATCATGTCCTCTTCAAAGTAATGCATTTTTATATTAAGTAAATTGTAAATTGAAAACTTTGAAGACTTTTATTTTCAGTTATCCAGTTTTAAATAAATAAATCTTTGAAGGGTAAACTTTTCCCAGCTTTGGGCAACAGATTCTTGCCAAAATGCTGTCTCCTAGTGACCTTATGGACACTTTAAATAGCTGTTTTCCAAACTGGTCACAAAAGAATAACATATCAATTGCAATTAACTCTTTTCTTTAACTTTAGGCTATGGTTTGATTCAGTCGTGGGCTGAAATTCAGTTAATGTCAGCTCTCCTCAAAGCACTGTAAATAGCTACCAAAAACATGCAATGTAACACATGAGTACAAGGCCAAAGCAAGGGGAGAGGTACAAGGATTCACCTGGTGACTGAATGCTGGGAATATTAATTACATGCCCATCTCACCTGGTACTGAACTGCGATTAACACTGGCTGAGCTCCACACAGGAGATTCTGAACATCTGTTTTTCATTTCTTGATGTCATCCTGTGAGATAATCAATGCTCTTTTTTACCTTCTGTAACCCTTCACATCTCACAAACTGCTTCTATCTAGAAATTTCCGTTCTAACTACTGACTTATTCACAGTTTCTGAGTGAAGAAAAGTAGTTTGTGATTATTTTGACTAACTAATGGCCAATCTTCATATGTACTTGTTTTCATTACAGTTCTGCTGGGATACTTTGGTATTCACATCACACAGAAATTGGTGCTATTTGTTTAATTAAAAAAAAGGTGTGTAAGCAGATACAAGCACAAACAAATAAATGGTACGGTTACTCAGGCTGCACAATGTTATGAAGCATGTTAATTTTATGTTAGAAAATTTTATTTACTAAGTGAAAATGGAAGGGTAAATTACAATAGCAGATAATGATGCTGAAAACTTGTTTTGACTTACAGTCATGGCTGAGTCTTTCCCTTGTAAGGTGGTGACAGTAGCTTTTCATGATTGCTATGTTAAAGTATAATATGTGGAGCACTGTATCATCATAATATCAATTTCATATTCTACCCACCAATTCTATCTTTATAACCTGGTGCCTTCAATTTTAAGTTTCCAGAGCTGGATGCAGTAGCAAAGATATATAAATATGTATTTTAAAATTTCTATATTCTAAAATATTCAGAGTTAGATCAGAATAATAATAATGGATAAGTTATGATTTTGGCTTCATTGTAAGTATATAATCAAATGCTTAAATCTTTGCAAAAGTGCTAGCCGTTACAGAGAAGGCTGGAAAGATTCCTCTGTGCATTCTTTGTAATAAAGTAAAAAAACGTAGGAGATCTATAGCCTGCAGAACAACACTTATACTTTGGTTATCCAACATACTTTACTTTTCCAAAATTTCTTCTTCACTCATTTTAATATACACCAAGGAATATAATTTTTTAGAACATAAAATTTCAGTGATGCTCATTGCTTTGAAAAGTACATGTAACATAGGGAAGTTCTTTAAGCTATAAAATACCATCTGTGTCCTCATTCTATTGTAGCAGCATTTAATGGCACAGAGTTTTTCATTATTTTCCTCAAGAAGTGAAATCTTCAGACTTCCCCCCCCCCCCCAGTGTGTCAGGACTGTATATCTACTACAGTCTGTAGCAGACTGTAGTATTATTGGTCAGTTTTGGTTTTGTCTCTATGTATTTCCCTCACTCAGTGTTTGGGTGCTTACTGCCTTCCTCCAGGTTATGTGCCCAACTCATATAAGATCAAACCCAAGATAAACTTGTGAGCTGGCTTTTTCGTACAAACTTTGTTCATGGGAAACTGATGATTCACTGCTTTGAGAGCATGAGCATGGAGGGTTGAGAATTCTCAGAGCCCCAAACTTGTTAAGAATAGGTTGTACTTATATTGATTTCCTTAAGTGAGTAGGATTCTACACTTGAGGGTTCCCACAAGAATTGTCCAGTATCAGAAATTTGTATTCTGGTTTCATGTCCAGAATTTGTAAGAGACCAGAAAGGCTATTTACACTGGAGCAAGGGCTGGAAATCAGTGGTGGGTAGGAGACTGTAGGCCACACACTTGTCAAGGTGGAAGTTTCTGACCTGGATTAGGCACAGAGAAGGGAAGCTAACCCAAGTACTGTTTTAATATTGTTAAAGTAATGAAATGGTAATGTTAATGTAGATTAACATTCTAGCCATTGATCATGCTAGGATGTTGCCTTGAGAATTCTCCATATCAGAGCATACATCAGTTCTCTCTTTTTTTTGGTATGTTACTGTTCAGACTGAATAATTTTAAAAGAAATACATTTTTCTTCCATTTTTCTTCATATTATAAGTGAAAAAAAAAACCAAAACTTAAAAATGTCTCCTGTTAAATAATTCAAAAAATTAAACAGTATCACTGTCTGAAAATCATAACACCAAGTAGTTTTCTCCTGAAAACTATTCATTTAAGAATAGACCATCTGCTCTCTAACCATATAACAATCTGTTTTGCAATATATAGGACACTGAGATTTACTGTAATCTTCTTTAGAACACTGAATATAATCTAATTTACTGAATGTTTCATCTTTTAGGAAGAATTTTCAGGCTTTTTGGAGAGTTGCCTGAAAAAAAGCAGATCCTTAAATGCAGAGGTTTTTTTGGTAACTTTGAATAACGAGAAGAGATTTGAAAGTGCATGTATGTTTTGTAGACAAAGGAGCTTTGAGATTCTATTCAAAGTCTATAAATGAAATAAAATGTTATTTCTAGTTCTATGAGTGTGATGGAATGCTACAATATGAGATCAGGTTTGCTTCATAAGTATGCTGTAATTTGATGATGAAAAATGCATATGAAGGATATGAAGCCCTTATTGATACAATGAAATGCTCATGAAAGTTTTATACATCTGTCATTCAGACGGGAATAAAGTGTAAGGTATATTCCTAATGAGGTTATACAATGGTATTTTTCAATAAAATTTTCAAATTTAAAGAAACTAATGTACATAACAAGAAGAAACTTTCAGTGAAATTATACATCCAAAAACTATCTTCAAAATCCTTTTGAGAGCTGTGCCATACTTAAAAATGACTGATTGAACGCCTAATCAATTTGGAAAAGAAGTTTGGCCAAAAAAGTTATTGACATTGAAAGGGAATGAAGCACTTTTGAGTGAAAATTAGTGATGTACTGTTCTTCTGATTTTTATTTTATTTTTTTTCATTCTGGAATACATTTTATGCAGGGATGTTCAAAGTGTAATGCTGTAGAATTACTCTATTTGAACCTTTAAGTAGAGGTGTTGGTTCTTTGGCTTTGATTTGACATCCAAGCCCAATAGAATAAACACACAGCTATCATATTTCATTACTTGTACTTAAAATTACACAAATATGTACAATTGCTGTATTGAAGTTGCAAACTAAGAAATGATTTTTAACATCAGTAATACACTGGAGCCATGTCTGGTGGTTCCGTCTTCTGCTTCGGTGTAGTACATACTGAGCTTGGTGTTCCATTAAGCAAGAATTTTTTTTCATCTGATTCACATATATAATTTAGATACAGAGAATGCAATAGAAATTCACTGTAATAAATCTTCAGCATTAAGACAAGAAGATGTCCATCATTTTTAAATTACAGATTGAAGTTAAAGATCAAGTTAAGTTAAAATGTCTAATCTCACCACTCAAGTAAAATTGTTCCTTATCAGACACTAGTAATGCATTCTAGTGAGAAGTAATCAATATGGCAATGTTCCAAAAGCAGTAATGGTGATATGATCTTGTTGCTAAGAGGCTTCACTATACAAAAACCCAAGAAACTCTTCTAGTCTTTCCACCTGAACATTTCCTTATCTAAATCCTACCGCATCTCAATTAATTTCCTCAGAACATTTAAACTTTCAGGTTTCTACCTTACAGTGTATCTTTATTCCAAGTGTTGATGATGCTTATCTTTTTGAATAAAAAATATAGAGGTTTTTGTTATTTTGTTTCAACTTTCCAGGCCCTTCAACATTAGTTTTTTTAGATTTGGAAAATATTGTACTGCATATGCATTGCAAACCAAGTATAAAGTAATGGATGTGTTATGTGTGTTTGTTTGCCTGTCTATAACAGTGAATTACTCTCAGTGAGATTTTACCTTGTCCAGTGCCAAGGCCAAGGAAAGCAGTTTGTAGCAGTTGCTTCCCACTCCTTGCATCCAACCCCAACTGCATTATTCATGATGTGTTATTAAAAAACTAAAAGAACTAGAGTTAGATTTGTCACCTAATTTTGTCCTAGACAGAACCTTCCTCCACCTCTCTGGTGTCCTCATGTTCAAATGAAATAATTTTTAATTGCATTTAATTGCACAGAAGTGACCTATAGATATATTCAGTACTAGGAATACGTAGCATACAGCAAAAGTAATGACATTTATCTGTAGTATCTCTGAGGGATGACTTGAATTCAAAGCATATTTATGATGTAAATGTAAATTTGCTGGTGATACATATTAGTACTGCAGACAAGACTCCAAGCCATTAAATGCTACATTTTCTTATAACATTGGATTTAATGCCTAAGTGTGAATCCAAAAAAGGTAAAATGAATGTAATTTATAGGGAGACTTACAGTTAATGCCTTTTTTTTTTTTTTTTTTCAAATATATTTTTTTAGTGTGTAAACATGATGGTGTCCAGATGACCATACACACAGTTCAGGTGAGTATCCTGTTTTTGGTCTTATATTTGAAAACACCTCACTAAAATGATGGCCCTTGCAGTGCTTTGTGAAGAGCAGCTCTGTGGACTCCAGCATACATCACCATGAGTATCGCTCACTGGCTCTGGGATCAGCAGTAAGGCCTCTGGAACTCAAACTGTTGAGAAGTTTTTTCTAAGAAAATAATTTGAGGTAAAGCTCCTCTTCTATTTCCACTAAAGTGAA